AATATGGTTTTGCGCTTTTATTTATCATAAATCAATAACAAAAGTTCCTTATTAACGTGCAGGAACGACTGGCGACCAGTCCTAATGATCCGTGCTGCATGGATTTCTGGCTGATCAGAAATAGCTTTGCATTCTGTCTGTCCATCTTTGCTTAACTAACAAAGTCATGTAATATTTTGAAGATTCACCAATGTCGAAAAGGTTTCCAACTTACAGAATACTGTATAGTAAGACCAAGATGCATGATGTTTACCTAGAGGAAAAACCTTTTCGAAGGACGTTCTTTGGAGTTGATAGAATTTCAATGGTTTTAGTGCTTTTTATGTTTTTTATGTTTTCCTTTGCCTTTTTTGATTGAAGCCATATAGTCTTGTTGGTCTCTTGAGACATCCCTGATGCACGCTTTGCGCCCAAAGAACCTAAACAACAATAACATCACATTAGTCACCATTGAAGAATTAGACTAGAACCCAGTCGATACTCGTTTTTACTCTAACTCAAAGGGGATGATGGTATTCTTACCCTACGGCACGGCAAACAAGGTTTCCTTGRCAGCGCTGGTCATCGTCTTCAGATTCAAACATATCAAAGATACCTGCTGACCGTCCACAAGTAGATCCTTCTCCTAGCTTAGGTACACACACTTTGGAATAACGACTGATATCATTCTGTGTAAAGCAACCCAACTCTTCTTTGCTATTGTGACAATCGTTCTCTTTGTCGCAAAATGTGCCTGATAAAAACAAGAAGAGCGTAAAGGTCAACCACTAACCCATGTGGGACTGACCAGGAAACGAATAGTTGAGATAATGTGCGCAAGCGTAAACCTATCTACTGAAGTGAGTGCGTAAAGCTGCGTTACATGTGCACTGCCTCAAATCATCCAAGTAAAATTTGATGTCCTTTGCATTTCATAGCAAAACTTGATTGAACGTAAATGAGTCAACTCTCTCCTAAGCGACCACCTCGGTATCAGGAAAAAGTGGTCGCTTACGAGAGATGGTCGCTTACGAGAACGTATTTTACAGAGTTTCCGGGAAATTTAAAAGGTGGTCGTTTACGGGAGATGGTCGATTACTAGAGTGGTCGTTCAAAGAGAGTTAACTGTAGACACTGTAGATCTAAGCAGTTGACAAATTAAATTTTACAATAAACTATCAGGAGCATCCAAAAATTCTTTTGGAAAACAGCGACATATTCAAGATGTCGGACTGACCTGCTTCTCCAGCAAGACCCTTGACRCATCGTCCCCAAGTACATTGATAGGCTCCCTTTGTAACAGAACATTGATCTTTCTGTGAGCATGCTCCRTAAGGTAGAACTTTATCTTTGCATACACCAAAGAATTTATCGCAATATTCGTTGCTTSCMGTGCAAGGCTTTGCATCAGAACAATCCTGAAAGAAGTATTGCTTTGTATTAAWAATTKGKWAWKGG